ATTTAGATACAGATGCTTTTACAAAAAAAATAAAAATTTATGGTGTCACCAAAATTATTAAAAAGCAAAGGTAGATTAAATATTTAAAATATATATTTTTTGGTAGACGGGGCGCTCGATTCTGTTGAGGGGCGGGAAGCCCCGCTATCCCAAGTATAAGGGTAAGGGATACACGGATAAAAATGTTTAATTTACTTGTTTTAAATGTAGTTGTCCCTCAATTATTCTGTAAAAAAGTATTATTTTAATGTATTTTTACATAAAAGACTTAAGTACATAAGTACAGTGAAAATGTGTTTATGTTTACAAAATATGTAACATTTTATTAGTAAAACCGTTTAATTTACGCCTTACTCTGTAAATCTATTAACGTTCACACTATTTTTTTTTTTTACAGAATTCCTCTAGTAACCCAGCTGCCAGTTTTACTTAATAAAAAATATGGATTTATTTTACAGTGTAAACTTTTTTTTAGATAAATAATCACGTTTGTAATTAGAAATTAGTTAAACATGGTTGAGGACTGATACTTAAAGTAGGCCAAGTTTTTACATTTAAATCTTACTATGAAGAACCTACTTTTATTTACTTACATTATTGTTCTTTTTATTTATTTATTTTAAGTTTAAAATATTGTTTAAAATAAAAAAAATAATAACTTTTTTTTTTTTTACCTTGTGTTGATTTGCAGAAAGTGACCCCGAGTGCCAAAATAATCAACTAAAATTCATATTAGTGTCCTAAAAATGGCAACAAATGACACAAAGGTCACGAGTGACTGCACTGATGATTACATCTAAACGTTCAGAGTCTTACCACGTTCTTCTCATTGGGTCTAACAGCGATGCTCCCAAAGATCTCTTCCCCCTTCTTGACAGTTAGGTAGTCTTCTAAGTAAAACACAGTCTGCTTCCAGTGTGTGCTTGGAACATCTGGAGCTGGAGGCAAAAACAAGAGAGGAGAAGAAAAAAGAGAAAAAGGAACGAGATTAAAACCATCCAGGTGAAGCTATAAAATAACGTCAGTTTGTGAAGTTAAAGGATCAGTTGAGCTATCACCTGCCTCGTGGTTACAAATAAAGTAGAAACTGAAAGTGTCTGAGCTGAACTCGCCCAGTGGGAGAAACATGAAGGCAGAGACTCCTTCAGTGACGCTCTGCCTCAGCCCCAACAGACTCAGCCAAACATAGAACCTCCTCTACAACATTATGTAAGCAGCAGATGCATGAATTTATTCAAAATGGTGTTGCGTAACAGGGCGGAGAGTCCGTCGGTGAAAGCACCAGTTTTACTTGTGTAACACCAACACGGTGTAGCCTGGGGCAAAAATGGTGAAGTAATAATTTGTAATATTTAATGTTTAGATATTTTGCTGCAGGGTGGAGCAGAGCGTGAACACGGCAGTCACCATACAGCTAGGCTTTTATATTCCATTATCAGTATTTAGACTAAATGTGTTAGATATAATAAGTACATTAAGTTACTGAGGATGATCTAACTTCCTGAAATGTCCATTGAATCTGAAGAATACTTGATTAGATCTCACATTTACTCCCTTTTTAATCTTTTTTGATGAAGTGCAGAGATTTTGTTCTGCCTGTCCTCTCATTTGGTGACAGTAAACTGACAGACAATCCTGAAAACACAAAAAAACCAAGTTCTTACCTCACTAAGTAATGTACTTTCATTGTATGAGGTTATGTTAGGAAAAATATTAATATATTTTGTGATAACGTATGTGGAGCTCCAAAGTATTTGTCTTTCACTCAAGCTCGTGAAAATAAGTATTTATTTGGCAAATAATAAAAAATAAAATAAAAACACATCGTGGAGAATTTTTGTTTTCTTCCTGCCTTAAAATATGAAAAGTTGCACATGTTTTAGCTCTTACTTTCACTTTGGTTTTGCAAGCAGTGATAAAAACTGTAGTGTGTTCACCAAAAATGTTCAGTCAGGTCATCTGGACGTTTTTATTTTTTTTCTGAGACGTTTCATCCTTCATCCAAAGGACTTCATCAATCTGAGAAACCACCAAACAAACTGATTCCCACAAGCAGCATGCTCCACAGTGAGAAAAAGACAGTTTGCTGGTGCTAAGATGGCCTCTGGGGCCCTCCCTCTCCCACATCAACTCCTCTGAGACAGTCATGCCAAAGTGGTTCAAAACACCAAAGTGCATGCTCATTAATCCAGGTATAAAATCCAACAATGTTCAGTCAGGTCATCTGGACGGTTTCTTTTGTTGCTGAGACATTTCGGCCTTCATCCATTTCTTCAATCTGAGGAGCCACCAAACAAACTGATTCCCACAAACTTCATACTCCATAGTGGAAAAAAACAGTTCGCTTGGTGTTTTGAACCACTATGGCATGACTGTCTCAGAGGGGTTGACGAGGAAGAGGGCGGGCCCCGGAGGCCACCAGCAACCTTTTTTTTTTTTCCCCCTTCTATGGAGTATGCCATTTGTGGAAATCGGTTTGTTTGGTGGCTCCTCAGTTTGAAGAAGTCCTTTGGATGAAGTACAAAATACCTGGATTAATGAGCATGAACTTTGGTGTGTATTGTGTCCTGTGAAAAACGAGAAGTTTCAGCAAAATGCAAAGGCTTGTGTTTTAGAGGATAAACTTTTGGCTTTGTTAGGAATTTTTCAATCCATTTACGTTTCATGAGCAGTCTGAGTGTGTGCTTTGCTCAATTCTGCTTGGTGTTTTTACTCTGTGGCACACACAAAGCTGTCACAGGGGACAGTGCCCCCATTCCGCTGTAGTACATCTGCTCCGGGGTCACAGGTCCTAATGCACATGCTCAGAGGAGCTCTTGTCACCACTGACGGTGACCAGCGTCGACCTGAAAAGACACGGCATGTAGCTGAGAATGTAGCTCCTCGAGGTAAAGACGGAAAGACACAAGAAGCTAAAGCAGAAGGAAATATAATACAGTAGTCCCTCTCTACTTCGTGGTTCGACTTTTGCAGACCCATTCTTTCGTGGTTTTTCAAAATAAGATTGCGCACGAGAAAAAAAATTGTGCAGGACACATGATTGTCAACTTTAATGTTACTCACGTGATTGGGACAGTACTGGATACTGTACAGTAAAAAGTTAATGAAAAAATGAAATACTTCAGACAGGCGCCACCATTTTGTAGTTTTCTCTCACTTTCTACACTGTATCCCAAGTCATAAGGACTATATTTCCCAGAAGCCCACAGTGCCCCACCCAGAAGACCCGTTACCCTCTGCTGAAATACGCAGAGGGAAAGTTTTAAGCTGATCGGAAAAAGTTCAGCCCTTATTCATACAGTGACTTCGGCACAAAGTGGATGAAGAGAGCCGCACGGACCCACTAGGAACTGGACCAGAACCGAACCTCCAGACTCATTTGTGAATCTGAGAGCTGCTACTGGCCCACGAGGACTTCAGAGCGGGGAGGTGTCACCATACGCTCTCTCTGGAGCTCACCAGGACTTTTTCTCCTCCAGATTTGGACTCAATCGGACCACCGTCTGGTCCCGTACTGGCTATCTGAAGGTCCGGCTCCCTCCAAAATGCGTTTCGGCACTCAAGGGCTGCACAGAACTGGAGCAGAACCAGCAGGGTAGGTCTGCCAAACCAGAATCGAGCCACTGTTTCTGCAGAGCTGGTGAGTAAAATTTTGCAGCACTGTACAGTTAAAATTAGTAGGTTTAAGAGTTTAGAACATGGTGGGCTTTGTCGCTGCTGGGTAGGTCTGCAGAAATAGAACCGAGTCCTTCCATAACCAAGCGGAACTGAGAGCTGCTGCTGTTTTGCAGAGCTGGTGAGTAAAATTTAGTAGCTACATATATTTAGGTTGTTAAAATGACAGGTTTAAGAGTTTAAAACATTGCAAAAGTGTGGGAAGGGTTTCTAAAGCCTTAAAACATGTAAAAATACTCAAATAAATATAATGTCACTACTTCACAGATTTTCACTTATTGCGGAGGGTGTCCGGAGCGTCACCCCCTCAATAAACGAAGGACTACTGCATTTTTTAAAAACTGCTGAGACTTTCCAAATACAGTATCTGTGTTGGCGCACAGCTAAAAACCTGTTGTGAATGTTAACGATAGTTGAGCTTTGATCCTGACAAGCAGCTCTGATACAGCAGACCCATCCTGCAAGCTGAGGGGATGCACGTTTCGCTGCGTGCACGCTGAGCTGCAGATTTTAGGCTGGAATGCTAAGCTAGGTATAGCCTCACCTGTGGAAAAACCAGTCTTCTTGTGACATTTGGTGAACTCTATGTTGAAATATGTGACCAGTGCGTGGACGTAATCGTTCCGCTGGATCTGCAGACAGAAGGCTGAGGTAAAGGACAGGTCTTCTGGCTTCACAGTGTAGATATCCACCTCCTTAAAGAAAAAAAAAAGGAAAAAAGCTGCATTTTATCATCACTTCTCCAAAGACGTCTGCTCAAAACTTGAATAGCAACTCCAGTGTGTACACCTCGTCACCGCTACTTGCTCTCGCTCTTTTGCATGTGCAGCACATGTATATGCCAGAGCCGCTACGTTATTCACCACGGTTTTTGTGCATGGGTGAGTGTGCATGAAAGCCCACAGGTTGAATCACGACTGGCGAACCGAGCCTGCTCGCAGTACACATGCTGTGTGGGTGTCTTCCCCTGAGTCTTCTGGATGGTGAGGTGCATGTGTGTTATATTAAATCACGTCTTGCGGAGAGAGATAAGTTTGGCGTTTTGCTCCCTGCTGGGCATGTCAGTGGGTCCAAAACGGATGAAGAGCAGAGACTTGGCTGTTTTACATGAAGCCACAGGCAGAACCTGCAGGTTCTAGGCAGCCGTGACAGATTGTGATTTAACACCTCTGTCCTCTGCAGCGATACCAGGCCCTACTGTATAGGGAAATGGGGGAGGTGAGAAAAAACATACTGGAGTGACTTTGTCATTTAGGCGTGTGAGGAATGACTGACAGGATGAATTAAGACATGCAGCTGCAGGGAATAAGCCCTGATTTATACATGCACGTCAAAGGAGGTACGGAGACTCCAACTGGTAACCGTTTCAACGCAAAATGAAGACTTGTGACTCAGTTCTTGCTCTTGTGTGACATTTCGCCATCACACACAGAAAGAGAAGGAGTGAGACCCCCCTGTTGTTTGAGATTAGTGAGGCCTGACTTAATCAGAGAACGAGAAAGAGGAAGGGGAAGATCTGAAATGATAAAGTAGAAATAACTTGGTTGGATAGTCCAAATTGGAAGAGTGATTAAAAAAAGCAGGAAAAACGAGTATTGCAATGATAGAAGGTAGACAAACACAAAGAAAGCTATCCCCCCCCCTGGATGCTCTCCTCCTCTGTTCATTTGTGAGATGAAAGACAAGTCATTGTTGTTTCCTCAAGCACAGAAACGGAGCTGCAGTCTATTACAGCTCGCCAAGAACCTCCATTATGTTCAGGAAAATAGCCTCAGCTGACGGAACGTTCAGAGGTGGCGGCGACTTTTGAGAACTCCTGTACACACAAGATTAACACCTGGACGTGTGCCTTAGAGGGTTTTCAAATATGACGCACAATTTTACAGAAGATGACAGGAAAAGTGCAAGCTAACCTTTATGAGGCAGGCGTTCGTCAACACCTGCTTGGGATCAACCACGTCCACCAGAGGCTCTTTGATGGCCACGTTGCGAATGCAGCTCATGTCAAACCCGTAAACATTTTCCCACCCTGTGCACACACAGTATTGCAGTTTCTTAGCTTTTACACAATGGTTGCAACTCCTGATAAGCATTCAGCACAAAAACAGCTGGTGGAGGGGACCAGATTTTAATATATATTTTTTTAATTTAATACTTACAATAAATGTTTTTTACTGACCAGTGAATGGTCCACCCGAGTGGACCAATGACACCAAGTTTCCGAAATTACCAAACGGGTCCACCGTGACCCGTTTGGTAATTTCATTGGTCGGATTTATTTATTTTTTAACCAGTATGTATAGGCTTGTCGCAATAAATAATAAATCAATTAATTGCATGATAAATGAAAATTATCGACCTCATTTTCATTTATCAGCTTTATCATTTCTTCATGTCTCTCTCTTTCTACTGAAGACACTGGATGACAAAAGGCTCAACTCCAGTGCTCTTCACTGACCCCTCCCTTTCTCTTTTCTCTTTAAAATTTGTTTTAACCGTCCAAAATCATGTCTTTGAATCGTTAAAAGCAGCTAAGCTGAGAAGCTAAGCTACGAGCTAAGCTAACAGGCCGACTTCGGGGAAAAAACTCTGTCTTGTCGAAGCTACAAAATTCACGGTTGAAACCCGTGCCTTTATATAAAATGTTGGTTTTCTCTACAAAAAGAAGCTGAGAACTTGCTCACTGATTTTTAAATTTTTTATTAAAAGCTTTGTGTGAAAAATGTTATGCTAAAGAGCTCAAACCACACAGAGCGTCCGCCATTTTGAGAACCGAAGAGAGATTGCCCATGTCACATCAAGGGGCCTCCCTCCTATTTTTCTTAGAAACACGCTGCTCGCTCTCTCACTATCCATCCTTCACTTCAGTCTTATACTGCCATCTGGTGGTCAAAAAAAGGTACTACACTCAAAACAAATGAACCCACATTTCTTCTTAAATTTGACAATTATTACTAATTATTGTCAAATGTCAAACAATATTATCGTTTATCGCAATAATTTCTGAGACAATTAATCGCCCAGAAAAATTTGTTATCATGACAGGCCCAAGTATTTATACAGGTAGTCTCAATGAGTCACAAGGACTCACCCCCCAAGAGAGATGTGTATTAGGCAGGTCTGTGAGCGCCCGGGTGAGACGAGGTTAATTGTTTTGGTGGCATGAAGCTTGTTAGTTAGCCTCAGTATTATATAAGCTGCAGTGTTCAAAGTGTGTGGAAAAAAGTAGTGGCTTATAGTCGGGAACTTACGGTACATTTAACCTTGCCAGGAAGAACAATCCCTGACTCACTGTTTATTTTCAGGTCCTGTGTGGTAAAAAGACAAGTGTTCCTGAAAATAACCTCCAGCCTCCTCCAGTATGTCTGGCAGTCGTTTATGGTTTTTTTATATATAATTTGGAATGAAAACCTTCCACTCCCCCATTCCCTCTGTCCCTTCACTCCATTTTATTTTGTCACAGGGCCAAACGCTAAATGTATGATGGAGGAGTGCACCGCCGACGCAGAGACGCTAAAAATAAAAATCTGAAGGTTTTGGGCAATTCGTCTCAGATTTGTCAGGAAGAATGTACTTTTATGTTTATGCTTTGGACATGTTAAAACTAAAAATGCCACCTGCAGTGAAAGGAAACTCAGTGGGAGTTATTGAGTTATTTGCTGTCAATACTAGACATAATGGCACCTTTAATATTGGTGCTTTGATGTGGATCACAGGGTTTAGCTCAGGCCCCCAGCTGTGACAGCTATGTGAACACACACAAAGAGTTTAATGTGAACGGTAGGATACTGAAAATATAATCTAACAGGTCTGTAGGCTGGGCCTAATACAGTTAGGTCACTTTAAACTCATAAATGAAGGAAATCGTTGTTGTTTTTTTACCCAAAATGAGGTATTTTCCAAAGAATTTGTTAAAAGATTAAAATGTATGAATAAAAATTAAATGGTGAGCAATCTGGTGAGATCACACAAGATCTGTTAGTGCTGTAAGAACATGCTGAGAACAACCTTCAACTTCTGCCACACCGAGGTTTAGCTCAAAGTTAAACAAACCAAGTTAGGGTCAACTTTGAGTTTGGTACTGTCGATTAGCTGTAACAGTCGTCTTGAGCTGCTGTGACTCCAAAACATAATCTGATGAAGATCGGCATCCAGTGATTTCTTTCTGAGAGGTTCGTTAAAATGAAGCCAGTGGTTTGAGATATTTTGCTAACAGACGGACACTAATGAAAAGATGTCAGGCAGCGTGTGCTCAGAGTATGTGTTGCACTCTCAGCTAAACTAAATTTGAGGTCAACATTTGTAAAATTGAGATGCAGCCAATATTGTGTTTTGTGGGACAAGTTGGCAATGGCGGCCATCTTGGACTGAATTTGATGAGTTGTAGATCATCTGATTTTTTTTTTTCTGAGTTTTAATAAAATCTGTCCACTGGTTCATGTGCTATTTTACTAACATGAAAGACAAATAAACACGGCACACAAAGGCAACTTTTACCTTCAGCTGGGGGTGATAATGGGACTCAAAGCCTTCAGTTCATTTCTGTCTTTGCCATCCATTGTTGTAATTAACAGTACCTCAGATTTTTCCGAACATAAAGACAATAATTCCTTCACACTGGAGGAAAAACAATTATTAAACAAAATTCACTTCATGCAAGAGTCATCTTGCTGCTTTTCTCCTGCAACAAACATTTCTAAAAAAAATTAACTATTTGTCTACATTGTCTGGCTAAAAACTGAACAAAGAAGAAAAAAATGTTTGAAGAGTTTAAAGCTAGAGGCATCTGCACTAATCCTGACAATGACTCTCATCGTGCACAATTTATTCACACAGGTTTGTCATAGATAAGCAAATATCCCCGTCAGCTGTTTCTGGGTTTCTGTTAGCTTCAATATCAAAGCACTGCGTGTAAAAAAAAAAAAAAAAAAAATAAAATAAAATAAAAAAATTTTTAAAAAAAAGATACGTTTGTTCCAGAAGCTCTGAGGCAAACATCCAAGTCAATATGTACTTGTTTGTTAGAAACGGGCTGCTGAAATATTAAATGTTACTGTAAAATCAGTTATTAGATGGTTATAATGTTTAACATTTGAGCTGGTACTTGTTTATTGTGCCGCTGATTGTTTTTCACGGCTGTGAGAGAGAATTTCAGAGCTGAACACATTCCATACATTTGTCTAAACCTTGACAATACAATGAATGAGCACAGAGCCCAGTTTTATTCAAATCACTTCAATTAAAATATTGTAAAAGTGTAGGACATTGTGTCCCAAATGAGACTAAAAACACAACCTACATAAAGTTTAGTAACCACAGCTCTGATAGCTAATAAATCCTTGACCATGTTTTACTCGTTTTTCACCACCTGTCACGTAGTAGCTGAATGTTGCTTATTCCTGGTCAGTTAAATATCACATGTCAGCCAAGGTGAAGATGTTTTTGTCTGTGGCTGTTCAGACAAGAGAAATATGAGGAGAAGAGCAACAAGTCAACAATAACTAGAGAAATCACATTTCTTGCATGCAGAAGAAATTGCTGAAAAAAGCTTAAATTAGCTAAAAAAAATGCTGAAATGGACAAACAAGACTAACGTAGCAGATGAAAGCAGAAAAAAAAATGCATATTTGCTGAATTAGGTTTAAATAAGCAGAAATTAGCACACAAATTGAGGAAATTAGCTAAAAAGGGCTGAAATATGTTAAATAAATAGCTGAAAATTAGCTGAAAAGTCAGAAGCTTAAACTATCAGAAGGAAGCAGAAAGCTGAAATTAGCTAAAAATGTAGAATTACCTGAAAAAGCTCAAATTAGCATAAAAACAGCTAAATAATAGCTGAAATAACTGACAGTAGCTGAAATAAGCTGAAATTAGTACAAAAAGTTGAAATTAGCAAAAATAATTTAATTAGGCTGAAAGTAGCAAAGATTACCATGAAAAACTAGACTTTATCTGAAAACAACTAAAAATAGCTAAAAGGGTAGCTGAAAAGTTGGAACGAGCTTAAATTAGAACAAGAAAGCATAAAGAATATGTGTTTGCCCAATTAGGCTGAAAGAAACAGAAATGAGCACAAAAGAGTGGAAATTATCTGAAAAAGTTGAAATTTGCAAAACAGCCAAAAAAGTAGCTAAAAAATCAGAAATAAGTTGAAATTACAAGAAGTGGAGAGAACACATTTTGCTGAATTGGGCTGAAAAACGTTGAAATGAGTGCAAAAAATGTGGACTTAGCTGAAAAAGCATAAATTAACATAAAACAGCTATATAGTAGTTGAAATAGTAGAAAAAGCTGAAACTTGCAGAAATAATCTGAAAGGAGCATAACAAGCTGAAATGAGCAGAAATGAGCACAAAAGAGTGGAAAATATCTGAAAAAGCAAAAATGAGCAAAACAGCCAAAAAGTAGCTAAAAAAAGTCAGTAAGAAGCTGAAATTACAAGAACCACAAAAATGTTGTAGTTAGCAGATAGAATCAGAAAGGAGCACCAAACAGCTGAAAAAAAAAAGATTAAATTAGCTTAAAGTAGCTAAAAAATGATTATTCTCCACAGGAAGCTGAAAGTAGTTGAACCAGAACAAAATGTGAAAGGAGCCATAAAAAGTTGTAAACAGATCTAAAGACTTGAAGGATGAAAATGAGCTCAATTCATTTTTTATTAGAAAAAAATGCATACAAGGCTAAATAGTTCAAAATAGCTAAAGCTGCACCAATAGCAAAAGTCATAGCAGGGTCATCCTGAGAGAGCTGAACGTTTTGATTTATGATTTGTTGAAATAGCTTGAAAACTGCGGGACGAGAATCGCACCGAAAAACATACGGATGGAAAATGAATCACACGAGTGAGACTGCTTCATAAAAGTTTATACTATTACTCACAGTGAATCTTAAAGTCCTTATACTGCCTGTCTTCAATGGCGACCACGTACAGAGCTGCTCTGTCAGGGAACATCAAACCTCCAGGTTTCTAAAAACAAGAAAAGACACGAGATATCTTCTGAAAAGACACAGACCACCCATCATTTTATTGTTCGCACACCTGGCATTCAATCTAGGATCACATGTGTTGAATTTAAAGCCCTCTGGCAGATTGTGAGGTTAGAAACCAGATCGCTCATGTGTAACCTCAGCATCTGGGCAGCAGACACAAGAATACACAGCAAGTCCTCTCCTCCATCTCTGCGTCTCGTCTTTTATAAGTCTGTTGTTTTATTCGTTCATTCAGCCTAACAAACACGCACACATTAAGCCGAGCGACAAGCAGAGCCATCATACCAGCCATTTGTCCCTGGCGAAGATGACCGTATTGAGCATGGACTCGTAGAAGAGACAGTAACCCATCCACTCCGAGATGATGATGTCCACTTTCTCCACGGGGAGCTCCACCTCCTCCACCTTGCCCTTGAAGATGGTAATGACTGTGTTGCGGAGAGAAACAAAACAGCGAGTTACAAATTGCTTTGAAGATTTCTAATTTAAAAAATGCAAATTGGATGGAGTTTCCCACTGCTTCTCCGGGCTTTTAAGTGTTGTAAATGATTACAGCTTCTGTCTTGATTTACATCTTCCAATCTTTTTGATCCTTTTGACTAAAAATAAGACTAACAAGCAGAAAGATTTTATCAAGGGTGCATCAAACTTTGACCAACCTAATGTGAAATGTGCAGGTAACAAAATCCACTCTGTTGCCAGCCCACCATCTGTCTTGCTCAGGGTGGCATAACAATGGCAACAAGCCCCACTAAGGAAGGAGGGGGAAGATAATCTGACAGATCCCAAAGATTATGGTTATTTGACAACAGAGCTGAGCTGCCAGTTAACTATCAGAGCTGTGACCAACACTGTCAAGTGTGACCGCAAGTAAGGAAATACGCAGATTTTCCAGGTTCCTTCCAACTCTCATGTTAGTGCACAGCTCTACATTTAGACAAATGGATACACAGAACAAAAAAAAAAAAAGGAAGATCATCGTCAACTCACCATTGTGTAGGTGATTGGACTTAATTATCTTCTCGGAATATTCAGATATACTTGAGCATTCAATCTGCGGGAACAAATACACAAGTGCATGCACACAGGGTTTTAAAGTACTTCAAATTGTCAGATATTTCTAAAAGAATACTTACACTGTGCATGAGTATACTGTTTCAGTTTAGGCAAATTGAATAAATGCAACACACATACACATATATACAGTGTATATATATATATATATATATATATATATATATATATATACAGAAAGATATATATATATATATACGGCCCTTACGTTCCAGAGACCCCCATGATACGTGAAAAACTGCAAAGTAGGAACACTATATTTATTTTAGTATTTATATATATTTTAAGGCTTTATAAACCCTTCCCACACTCTTGCTATATTAAGAATTTTCTAAAATCTTAAACCTATGTAATTTTAACAACTTATGTACATACAGTACTGCCACATTTTACATGGGCACTCACCAGCTTGGTTCCAGTCGGGCTCGGTTCCGGTTCTGCAGACCTACCCTGCAGCGACAAAGTCTACCGCCCCGTCCAGGTGGATTTGCAGGTGAATAACTGAACTTCAGGAAGCTTCAGGATTATTTGCGACTTTCCTGCCAGGTCTTTGTGAGCTAGATCATTACTTCTAACTTTGTGTTGCTAAACTTTCTGTCAATTTCAGCAGAAAGCAGCAGCTGGAAGCACTGTTGGCTTCTGGGTTGTGTAGTTCTTTTGACTGGCATTACATTATAAGCTTATTGAAAGAAAACTACAAAATGGCAGCGCCATGGTTTAATTTGTAAACCGATCGATGCCAGAATGCAAATAGCAGGTGGGCCAGAGGCCGGGGGTTGGAGGTGGGGGGGGGGGGGGGTCTGGGGGCTCTCCCCCATAAAATTTTGAATAAAATAAGTGCAGTTTCCTGCATTTTAATGGGTTGTTAAACATCTACGTTTACCTACATTTGTAAACACTACTTCTGTCAAGCATCCCCGCCCCCCTTTCTTGATGGTTCTGAGCCCGACACTGTCCCTGCTCGTTGTTGTCCAACTCCACATGTGAAACCTCCAGGCGCATGCCTGCAGCTGCCTGGTTAGCTCAGCACTCACCCCCACCATTCTTTTAGGGGCTGCATTTTTTTTTTATGTGTAGACGTGGAAATGTTACTTGAAGGGGCAGCTCATTTGCTCATAAGTGGTTGTTGTGTTTAAAATTAGTGTTTATGTAATTATTTTCCATTTACATATCCAAAACACATTTTATTCATTCAAGGCAGTCATATTTGTTCATAACTTTATTACCGATAAGCCTGAGAGTTACCAGATCCAAACAGTTACCAGAACACATCCTGTCAAAAAAAGAGAGTTCTCAGATTCTGTTCCGGCAGGATCCAGCTCAAATTAAGCACTGGGGCGGCGTATGTGTATGTATGTGGGTGTGGGTGTGTACATACATATGCATGCATGTACAGAGAGAGAGAGCAATGAAAAGCTAGTCTAACCCAACTGTTTGTGAGCTGAAGGTGCATGTATTGGCCTCACCCCATACACATGTTTGGCACCAGCATTGGCAGCAAACATGGAGAGGATCCCCGTGCCACTGCCAACGTCAAGGACGATTTTATCCTTAAACACATGCTTGTTGTGGTACATGGCATTCCGATATGTCAGTGTCCGCACCTCATCTTTCAGCATCTCCTGCGTTGGAAATAAAAGTTCACAGCATATACAAATTACAGCATTAGTCACACTAATCCAGATGCAAAACTGCATGTAAGCACATTATTGTTTTTCCGGTGTAATCAGATGGATAAAACAGAAATTAGGCAAAAAATCTCAGTGACAATGGCAGAGCTTCTTGAAATTTACGAGAAGACAGAAAACGCCTTTGGGGACTGCTGGATATCCATCTCCCTGATCTCATACACAGATCCTACTTCTTTGGGCTTTGAACTCTTTAATCAGGACACACTCTTTGTCTGCGAGCAGACAGAAAAGCTGACCTACATGCTAAATAAGGACACCATTTAAAAAAGGTCTACATGTTCCCAAACTTTCTCACCATCTCTCCTTCACATATCAAGGTCATTAGTTAGGTTATAGCCTCAGCATTTTGCAGCAGATGATTGCAAAAGACAGATACTTTTCACCTACGTGGTGCTGATAATGGACTATTACTCACACTCTTCCCCCCCCCCCCCCCCCCTGTGCTATCTGGTTTCTTTTTTGTTAGCTGAAGCACACTCGATCAAAACAGATGTTAGGAGCTCTCTCCTAGAGCACGGTTTGGTCGTTTGCAAGCAGCTGCCTTATTGTAGATTTATACTGGTAGCTGATTTTATTTGTTAGGCTTAATATGTACTTAAATCTGTAACAGTAAACCTAAATGCAGATTAGTCTCTCTCTTTTTGCAGAAGTCATGATGTGGGTTTTTGACATACCCTGCTGTTAAAAAGTCACACTGAAAAGACTGAACCTTCTTGGCAGAGGGGATTTGCTCTCATTCTTTTACTCTAATCACACCAGTGTCGTACTGTCCTACCTCATGGATGCCAAAGTGGGCATAAGAGTCAAAGTAGTAGTCCCTTGACGTCATTTCCTCCGGGCTGACAAATTTGGCAATCTTGCCTCGTCCAGGACAGGTGGTCAGCGCTGCTACATGAGGCGCGTGAGGGACGCAGGGCACGTGGTGGCTCGTAGGCACTGGTTTGGGCAGCAGGGAGGGCTGGGCAGACTGGGAGAGGGGTGACATGACCGGCTGTTGCCGCTGAGAAACAGGAATGAGAGGCAAAACGGTTCAGATATAGGTAACACGAGCTTATCGGAGATGGTTTGATAAACTGCAGGACTGAATTAGTCTTTTTTTTTATTTTTATTATTTTAGAAACAACAGACTTATAATGCAAGTCCACTCATGCGCACTGAGAAAGCCGGTAAAAGCTGCAAGTTCCGGTTCAGCACCACGGACAGCGAACGCGTCAAATTCTCCAAAGCGATCACCTGAACACAACATGCTTTACAGTGCTGCACATCCAAACATCATCTCTTATCGTTCCCATAACTCGGAGGGTGCGCGTGCATATGTGCAGACTCGGCTGTAACATCTGGAGGACGCAAGGGCGCAGCTGTCACATCATTTATAGAGAACAACGTCATATTTGAAGACGAACTATGTTGTCACCGGTGAATAAATAAATAAATATAAGATCAAGAATGTCCCCGGACACATCAGAACCGGGCCACAGGACACCACAAGGTCCCCCCCTACCTCCGAGCTGTCCGCCTCCGCCATCTTCCGCCGCAGCAGCAAGCAACGCGACGAGTGCCCGAGTCCCATGAGAGCCGGCGAGATTTAGGCTCGGGACCTTAAACTGAGGCCAAAACGAAGGAAAACGTGTCAAAAACGACACAAAGTCCAGGAGTAGGTGACTGCGGTGCTCGTATGGATGGAAGTCATCATGAGACGTTAAAGAAAAAACTGCACTGGGAAAGAAAAAGTTGTGAAGTGACGTGAACTGGCGTGTCTGTTGGTTGTTTTACTGGGAGGACTCGGTGTCTTATTCAGGTTGGGGGTTTGATGCCAGCGGGAGAGTTGCTGCTCGGTCCCTCGGTTTAAAAAAAAAAAAAAAGAGACGAAAATCCAGCTGCTTCAGAATCTAACTCTTACTTCTCATCTTCCATTTCTTCATCTCCAAGAACTAAACTCCGAAACCCGCGGAGACAAAAATATATAAAAAAATAAAACTAAATAAAAGTCGCCCCGTTTTTCACTTCATTTCGCCGGGAAGTCCAGTTTGAGAGTCTCTGGGAGGACAAACGGACTGAGTTTGCAACGCCTGCAGAGAAGAAGAAGAAGAAGGAATGATGCCTCCTCGTGCCAGACTTTCCCACAGAAACTGAGCCCACGCGCGTTCTCATGAAACTGGCTCCAAAAAAGATGAGCATGTTTTACCTAGCCTGACTCAACATATTTAAAACATTTAGACTAATAAAAGCACTTTTTTTAAAAAAAGGAATGCACATTTCGGCTGCATGTTGGAACTGTACTTTCATATTGCTTTTGAAAACTTTATTTCCTCTTTTTCTGGATGTAAATCACTTTTCTTTTTTTTTTTTTTTGGATGATTACTTTCTCTGGTGTCAGATGCTGTGCAGCTGGAAAGATTCTTAATGAAAACATTTTTACTTTTGGACAGGTTATGAAGCGTAACCATGACAACAAAATTACCTCAAATATGGCCCCAAATCCCAAATGTGTTGTAAAGGAGGCACCATGGATGCATCTCTGTCTACCTGGTGGAGGTGCTCGGGTGACTGCTGCTGAGATCCTGGAGCTGGCAGGACATGTGGCTCATGATAACAAGAAGACCAGGATCATCCCCTGACACCTGCAGCTGTCTGAAATGATGCGGAGTTCAACAAGCTGCTGAGAGGAGTGGCCATCGCTCAGGGAGGAGTTCTGCTCAAGGTGGTCCTGCTGCCCAGGAGGACCGAGAGGCCTGCTGGATTCAGGTGGACAGATCAGCATCTGCAGCCAGTTTCTTCAGATCCACTGTGGGACGGACTGCTGCAGATCCTTCCTGCCCACAGCCATCAGCAGCTATAACAACTCACTGAAACCATGATGATGAGCTACACCATTTAATTTCTCTTTGGGATTAATGAATAATTTTGAATTGAATTGCCTGTCACCGTTCATGTCAGAGTATTAACTGAGTCCACCTCATGTTAAAAATGACAGGTAAAGTTGTTCTTGTCACAAGAACGGGATACCCAGAGCAAAACAACTGATCATGAACAACTCAGACGCAATGGTATAAATTCATTACTTTTATTGACAGTGGATATAGTTCAGAGGGAATCAGGAACCTATGGTGGATAGTTTGGTGGATAGTTTGGTTCCAATATCCTGTACAATCATGAGAAGGTCCAGAAGACTCAGAAGGTGCATGTGGTTGGAGGGCAAGGAGAACATCTGAAGAGAACATGGGTAAGTTTCCAGAGTTTCACCAGTAATCAGGTCTCAGAAGGCACACTGGAAAAGATCACAAGGCAAAAAGGAAAGTATTCGCAAAACTAGAGATTCACAAAAAGGCTCGAAGCACAAACCATAGGCAGGGTAATGCTGCAGTGATGAAGAGAAGTCATCAGGTGCCTTATATATGCCTGAAGCCTCATCAGGAAACATTGCTTGCAGATGTAGCAATATGGCGCCCTCTAGTGACCAGAGACAGACGTGGGACAGGAACTCCCACAGTTTTGGTCAAAGCTTGAAAATAACATGTTGCATAAGATTATGCAGTGTTGTGATATCAAATATAATCTGTTAAAGTGTGGTGTGAATGACTGTCAGCTACTACTACTACTACGCCAAATGTTAGTTCAATGTCAGTACAATCCATTGAGTTACAGCTATTTTCATGTTGGCTCATTAGCTGTGGTGGCCATCTTGAAATGGATTGACTCCTAAAGATAAACATTTGTATTTGACCATCCAGTGGCTGCTTTCTGATGGTTTCATTAAAGTCTGTTCAATGATTTATGAGATATTTTGCTAACAGATAGCGTTCACTCTAAACTTTTTAGGCCAAGGTTGAAAGCAAAGATATATTTTTAAAAAGTGTTGTGCAGTAAGTATGTGTTGAGAACAATGCTCAGCCACTATCACCAAATTTTAGCTTAATATCTGTAAAACTGACCGAGAGATAGTAATTTTGGGGTTTGTTAAGATTGCTTTGCTGTGGCAGCCTTTTTGAATTGCGTGGAAAAGTTAATCAGCTGTAGACGTCAACCCATTGATGACTTTGTATCACTTTCAGTAACGTCTGTTCAACAGTTCATGAGATATTTTGCTAACGGCAAACACAAATGAACACGTATGTCTGCGCTGCCTTCAGCAGTAGGTGATTATCAGGTGTTTTTATCTAAAGAAAGATTTTCCTGGAATCATTCACATAATTTTTAAAATCAATGAGCTTTGTTCACACTTTATTATCTATGCTCAACTGAAGCTTATTCTAGTACAGAAAGTATCGAATGGTAAATGAAGCTCAGTCTAATCAAAATTACTAACAGAACCGAGAAACGGAACATACAAACGTGGATTTTGAGCGATGGCATATCTCGTAACTTGATTTCTTCAAAATATGCAAAGTCTTTAAAACAAAATGTGTTGTGATTTCAGTCCATTTTGTTTTGCATCCAAAACTTTTAGTAATAAATGTTTTCTTGTCAAAAGAATAACTGGACACGTGTCTGGTCAAGGACGGATGAAACACTGACGGTCTGTGTTTTATTTGTGTTTTCTTGTCATCTGTGCACCCTTCGTACTGTTTCCACCATGTAATCAGCTTCACTTCCTGCCACTCTCACCTGTTCCTCATTGTCCTACTCCAGGTGTTCATGATAAATCTGTCATTAGTTCTTCTACAGTACAAGTTCTGTGTCAGTTTGTTTCTTCCCGCTCCATGGATTGTGCTCTCCAGTCACACCTCCGTGTATCCTTGCTCCCTGATCATGTAAGTTTTTGCTGCCACGTCAGCCTTTGGTTTATTTAAACTGTACTTTATTCTTGAGTCCCCGAGTCCTGTCTGCATCTGGGTTCAACACAGCACAGATCATGATAAACACAATGAAACACACCAGATTTCAATCGCATTTATAAATTGGTCTCATGATTGGTGGCATTTAAAAACCTCAGCAACTCACTTTTGTCAAATGTCTAAATTCAATACATGAAATTAGCCCAGAAGTGTATCCCAATAAATACAAGTTATATATTTTGTTCTGCTACTTTCCACTTGCTTCTGTTTTAAATTTTTTTTTGGTACTACTTCTAACATTTCCAACAATAGTGGTAAAAAAAACACCAAAGCTTAAACACCTGGAAGCAAAAAAAGGCAGGCTAAACCTGTCGATTTCCTCCCTGGTGAGGTCATTCTGAGCTGTTATTCCTCTGATTATCACATTCAGACCTCAATAATTAATGTGTTACAGGTTTGTTTTGCATTAACAGCTATAGCACCAATATTTTTTCCCACTTTGCCCAAGGCACTGTGCGTTATGTGGAATTATCTATTCTTTCCTCTGACCAACCAACACATAATCTGGGACCTTTTGACTTTCACAGGAAGAGGTTAAATTATAGGCATGCACTTATATAAAGCTGCAGCAGCACTCAGTATGAGGAGGAGTGGAGAGCAGACTATTTCATATTTTTGCTGATTTTTATGTTTGCATACTGACTTTATGGCAGACTTGCAACATATGAGAGACCCTCCGAATATTTATAAATCGTGTCAACAGGAACGCTCATGTCTATTTTTAATAGGAGGAAAACCACGGTAAAAGGTGCAGTGTACAAACTTACTGTAATCTGCAACTGAAATATGCTAAATGTGGCTAAATGAGCAAGAATGCTGTATATTTTTCATTATTATTGATATGATGCTTTAAATATCAGCCACATCATTAATAATAGTTTATAATGACCTTAACTTCACCCACTAAACCGCAGGACGTGCTGTAGCTGACAGCTTTCACACAGTGCTTGCTTTGATTTGAGATTGCAATGCTGTTTTTCATCCATACAGTTTGGCAACTGCTTATGATTATTTTTTCTAGCTAAAAAAAAAAATTAAAATACACACTAGAGTTTGATGTGACTATTATCAAAAGGCTTCATCTTGAGCCCACAGAAAAACTGTGATTTGTCATTATCACACTTTTATTTTCTTAGCATCGCCACAGTTGTTACCTTTTCCTGCTGCTGTTTGAGCTAAAATAAAAAACGTGTTATTGCTCTGGAGAGTGAATTCTGTTAAAGTTTACATCAACTGTATTTTGTGCAATTGTTCAAATGAGATTTTCCACCTCATTGCACACGTTGTCCACTACTGAGAGACATCATGAGCAGAAACAAGTACTTCAACCTTACAAGATGTGATGTTGATTTTCTTCTTTATTACAATGTCCTCACATCTATTAGAGCTTAATAATAATAAAAAAATGACAGTAATACAATACACTTGAGTTATTATCATCTGCTGCCAAAAAGCTATACGTCAGTCAGTTTTTCAGATGCTGAGCTAAAATTTTGTGCGCTAATAGCTGAGAATCATCACCAACACATACATATTGTCATAACATGTGCAATGTCTTTAAAATAAAGTTTACTTCTTGTGATTTCATGACTTTTTGTTTTACATCCGGAGCGTTGTTAAGTAATAACAAATATTTTCTTTGTCAAAAGAATAACTGGACATTTCTTGTTGAGGACATACGGAACACATACACTTTGTAAGATTTCAGTATTTGTGATGAGTTTTATGATCGGTGGTATTTAAA